CATAGTTGTAGCCACTGTGTCCTTCCATCTCCTTGTTGATCTCCCCATTTCCTACGATCTCCTACTTTACCTAGCATGGTGTTGTTTGTCCGGGACTGGTGTCTCCTGATAACATGTCCAAAGTGTATGAGACAAAGTTGCAGGGGCAATGGATTATTTACAATGGCTCTTCTAGCCAAAGTATCCAATTCCCACCAAATGAACTTTTCCTACATGGGTCTGGTAAGAAGGTGAGGGAAGATACTGCTAGGATTCACCTGTGAGTAATTATGGACAGGATTCCCTGGCATGCCATCCAGCTGTGTGTACAAAATGAACCTTCTGAGAAGCAGTAGGAGGGATCTCATTATCAGCAAGAGCCAAGAGTGGAGCATGTCCTCTGGACCTGAGATCCCGTGCAGTGAACCTCCCAGATGCAGAAGAAAGCTATACCATCGGAGGAGCAGCAGTTGAACCAGAAGCCAGAGCATGGAATAGAGTATGGATTTTCTAAACCATGGAATGAGTAAAGCCGAGTCCTTTCCCGCAGGAGGCTGGACACTTCACTAGGGAAGCTGGGCTTGCTGACCCACCCAAGTGGAACTGAGTGCCTTTGAGCTGAGGCTTCCGGGAGTGGGGTGCCTCTAGGCACTTAATCCAGGGAGCTGGCTTTGAATGCCCACGGAGCTCGAGTTGAATGCCTTTGGTTGAGGTTTACAGCAGAACGGTATGCCCTTTGGGGCATTTATTAGCAGACCTGAAAGAACTTTATAACATGTCTTGCTTAACAGTTCAGCCCTGAGCATTCCTTTCGGACATTATGATGGGTTAGCTTCCTTAATAAATCCTTCAGTCGTGGATTCAGTCTGTGGGTTTTGTTCAGTCATTGCACTGGATATTAGAACCATGAGACGGGCAATAGAAAACACGAATGAAGACAACACAAACGTCTCAACAGCCTCGTTCCTAAGGAGCACTCTGATTGTACTTCATCCAAGACAGGTTTGTTTGTCCTTTGGGCAGTCCGTGGTGCTTCCAAGATGCTTTGCCAGCACCATCATTCAAATGCCCCACTCTTTAATCTTCCTAATTCATTGCTCGGCTGTCACATGCATAGGAGGTGATTGAAAACACATAGCCTGGGTCTGC